ATCAATGTTCATGTACTATTGTTTGTAAAAAAACATTCAATCAAGTGTAGTGTAGCAAGATGTGCCAGAAACGTGGATTTGAAAATGATGGAAGAACCTGACTTCTAATTAAACACGAAAATCGAGCTCCCTTACCACAGTTCACCCAGATGTGTGAATGTGAAGTGAATAATACTAATATAGATGCAGAAAAGTAGATATGCATTAATTAAAGAAAAAGGATGGCAAGCTATGTTAACTGTACAATGAAAAATAAAGATTAAAGTTACATAATAAAAAGAAAAATAAAGTAATGGACGTTGAGTCTGAAATTGATAGTTTGTTGATTCTCCAGCCTTGTGGCTTCAACCCCAATGACTCCAGCTCCTTTGGTGCTGGCCCCAATGGCTCAGGCCTCTTTGGTGCTAGTTCCAATAGTTTCAGCCCTGATGGTATTAGCCCTAATGGCTTCGGCCAAGATAGTGGTGGCCCCAATGGTTCCGGCTCTTATAGCCGAACGGACCTACTATTGAATTAGACCTGCTGTTTATCTTTTGAGAGATGTTATAACGGTCCTCATTATTGATCTTTTGGTTGAAAGGCACTTTGGGAGATTGCCCTCCAAGTCCATCTATTCTCTAAAGGTGCGAGCCAATTGAAGCTTGCTTTTACGATGATCTAGACAGCATAGCAAAGATGTTACTTAACCCCTCTTTTAGAGTTTGCAACAAAGCTCGTTAGCTCATACTTCACGTTCTGGGTGCGTAACCACGTTCTCTGAATCGTAAGACTCAGGTTTATTCTTTCCAACAACATATTGATCCTTATGTGTCCCAGGCATTTCTTTCACATAAGTCCCATTAGGTATGCCAAAAATTGTTTGTAAAAAACATTCAATCAGGCGTGGTGTGTGAGGCGTGCCAGAAACGTGGGGTCAAAAGGATGAAGAATCTGACTTCTAATCAAACGCGAGAAACCCGAACTCCCTTATCATAATTCACCTAAATGTGAGAATGTGAAGTGAACAACACTAATGTAGATGCAGAAAAGTAAAGATATATTAATTAAAAAAAAGGGTGGCTGGCTATGCTCGCCGTACAATGAAAAATAAAGATTAAAGCTACATGATAAAAAAAATAAAATAATAGACACAAAGTCTGAAACTGATAGTTTTGATGCTCATAATCACTGTCGAGAGAGAACTTATCTATTTATAGATGATCTTAGCTTGGTGTCCAAGCCTCCATGATCATCACTTTTCTTGGATGTAGGAAGTACTTCTCCATCATGTTCATTCATTATGAGTGATGGTCTGATTTAATGACTAAAACTTCATAAATATTTTTTTTCATATAATTATTTTAAAGTTAATTAATTTAAATTGGGCTAAGTCTTTAAAATTTATAATTTAGGTGCAAATAATTATCATACTGCATATATTGTATGATCAACTGTATATATTTTTCATGATATCCTCCAAATTGACATGCTCCATAGTATGATAATACATGCACAGCTTACAGAAAATGACAGGGATGAATTATTAAAGCAGGATGAGAGTAGGTTTGCTATGAAGTTGTCTAATTTGTTGACGATAATAATGAACTATTGTATTCAGTGGCAACAGGACCAGGTTCGGAAGAAAGACACAGGCCACGTCGCTTTCTTGCCACCTCAAATTTGCCGCTATTAACATAGAAAAAATAGTAATCATCATAATTGAATTCAGCGTGTAACTCGGGAAACCCCTCCGGGCCCTTGATCATCGATGATGTCCACTGAGATGTGGACACCTGTACGATGCCCCGTGGGACCGGGCCCCACCCCCTCGCCTGGTTTTCAAACCATCTTTTCTCGAAAAGGGGACCATGGTTTTCTGCATCGACCTCATAATTCATATTCCCTCCTCTCGTAAATGACATATTCACCCTTACCCCTTTATGCCACACCACTCCCCTTCTTTATTTACTCATCTATCATCTCGTGTTTTGAAGACGTAGGGTACGATGATATAATTAATAATGTTACTTGGGTGGGGGCTGAAATGGTCAAAATGACCAGACTGATTTTTTTTTTTAAGGTTATTTAGATTCTTACTTGATAAATTTTTTTATTATTACAGGAACAGGGGTCATCATTCGAGGTTATATTTGTTAGGAAGCGAAATGACTACTAAGCGTACTATGATGCATGTTGTTCTTGTCGTTCCTGTTTACAGGAGCGAAAAAGATTGTATTGATGAGGAGAGTTCTGAATTGTATAGTTTATGATCTAATCTTTGTTTGCACTTGTAGTATGTTCCGACTTCTGACTGGAACTGTGAAGTTTTGGATTATAATTATAATTGATAGGGGGAAAAAAAGATAAGTGTTTAGGTTGTAAGGGTTGAACTATTGCTGAAGGTATTATATACTCCAAATAGTCTTGTATTTATGTTGATTCTGACTACCAAACAAGAATCGATGAAGAGTAATTAAATTATTGATGTTGTCCAAAAAGAAAATAAATTTTTAAGTTCACCCCCTTAGTATCAATTTTAAAAACATTTTCCTGGACTAGTAAAAATTAAATGTAAAAAGATAACATCAAAAAAATAATAATTATTCACATTTTTGTGCAAAGTAAATTGTAAGAAAGATCAGCAATTTTTTTCCTAGTAAGTAATTGTATATACAGGATTAAGGGAATATTTGACATTTGCACAGAAGGTTAGGCATACTTTTTTTTTTTTTTTTAATATCAGTCGAGGTAGCTTTTATGAGCGCCAGAGTTGGTAACTTTTGCTGAAAATTCTTTAACAATGAGATAGATATAAGAATAATAACAGAATTAAAAAACTTAAACTTAGAAATCTACAATGAACATGAGATAAAGTGAGAAATTAATAGGCTAAGACCATAGTTAAGAGTCTCCATAGTGAAAGATTTTTGTTGAAAGCTATTTAGAATCTTCTGATAATGATAATAACAAGGCATGAATCAAAAGATGTTGAAAAGTTATTGCTAACGACCCAGCGAAACAACCACAGAAGGCATGTGAGGCCGGTTTATGATACACACACATTCTCCTCCCTCTCATGTTATGAGAGATTTCCCCTCTATCTTGTACTCTCTTGAGTTAGTTATGAATTTGGTTTTAAACATTGCTGTTGCTTAAAAAAAAAAAGGGGATCGATGTTCTCCTTTCCTTTATGCAATTTATTAGCCATTTATTATTTCTCTGTGTTTCTTTGAATATATAGTTATAATATTTGGCAGAATTTCATTCAAGGACAAGGAAAACAATTTATTTTCAGGTGGCTTTTAAAAAAATTTAAAATATCACGTCAGTCTTATGAGACTAAGTTAAAAATAAGTTGAAAGTAAGAAAGATTAAAATACTCTCAGTTTAAATATTAAAAAAAAAACCACTAGCCACCATCATTGATGACCGGAGCTTCGCCGGCGATGGCAACCACTGAACCTTTGTTGATGGTGATTAGAGAATTATGAAAAATTAATATCTCCAAAGGTGGCCAAGGTGGGTGTAGAACTCAAGACCTTTTGGTTTATAAAAAAATTTTAAACCACTAAGCCACTCACCTATTCAATCATATAATATATAAAATTATATATAATTATTATTTTCAAGCCACTTGATCATTACATTATTTGTTAATCGCATAATTTTACTTGTTAATTACTTAACCTTTCTTGTTAACTCCACGACTCCTGCAACAGAAATATATTACTTGTTAATCGCGTAACTATACTTCTTAATACCTTAATAAAACTTGTTAATTACTTAACTCTCCTTGTTAAATCCGTGACTCCCACAACAGAGTTACATTACTCGTTAATTGTGTAATTGTCATTGTTAATACCTCAATGGGACTTGTTAATTACCTTAATTTACTTGTCAAATCCATGACTTCTTCAGCTGAACTATATTACTCATTAATCATATAATTTTACTTGCTAATTACGCAATAATACTCGTTAATTACATAACTTGACTTGTTAATATCATAACAAGACTTGTTTAATTGATGTTAAGAAAAAGCAACCAAATTACTTATTAATTATATAACTTTACTTATTAATTTCTCAACAATACTTGTTAATTATCTATTGTCACTTATTAAATGAATATATAATTTACATAAAAAGTTAAGTTTGTTAAATAATGAAAGCAATGACAGTTAGGTCTCTCTTATCAGTATTTATCAAACTAGAGGCTTCAAAAATCTTATACAATTAAAGCTTATTATATTTTAATAAGTATATTTAATATTGACAAGAGAGACTTAACTATTATCACTTTCACAAATTTAATTTTTTATATAAATTATATATTTATTTAATAAGTGATAATAGAAAATTATTATAATAATTATTATAATAATAATTTTGAAAAGGTAAACCCCGGTGCGAAATGCCAAAATCAGAAAAGGCGACTCACGAAGTCATAATTTCCCAACAAAAGTTAAAGGAAAAGAGGGAAATGTAATAGTAAAAATGAGAATAGAATAATTTGCAAAGGAGACAAAAGAAAGGGGTACAGAAGTAATTTGGGATGAAAACGACGTTGATAAAACAGAGGAAAGGGGTCGAACACGTCGCATTCGATGCCAAAACGCGGGGCTTCTCTCTCCGTTTCAGGGGCCTCTGTGCTGCCCATAATCATAGTCTCTCCCTCTCTCCACTGTCCACGTGTCCCCTATCTAACGGCCCTCTCTTCTCGGAATCTATCCCCCCCTCCTCCCAACGGTTCTGATCCCCCACATTCTGTCTCAATCATCGTTTAAGCCTCCGGGCCCCACCGTGACTACGACACCCTCCTCCCCACATAATTACTAATAATCAATCCCGATTGAATTAATCACACCATTATTTTTTAATCACCCCTCTAAACTCCGATTTAAAGAATTAATTGCTGGCTGTTTCACTAGCAATCCTTACTTTATTCCGTCGCATAATTGCAAACAAAACCAGGGGCTTAGTCCACCCACTCCACCCATTCTATTGAACACCTTCCGACTCTTATAAAGGCAGCCCCCAATCCCACCTTTCTCCATAATCTTAACGCCCACACTCTCCTCTTCCGATTCCTAGTATGTTGGGCAACAGACCTCGTCCCATGATCGGCAAGTTGTCAGGACTGCTGATCTCCGGCGCCCGTGCCGCCGCGCTCACGGACACCGCCGGCAGCCCGAGGGGTCCCTTGGACGTGAGCTTCAAGATGCACTCGCCTAGGGGGCTGAAAAGTTACGATCTTGGCGGTGTTGGTCTGGGAATTGTCGTGGCTCTTAATAAGTCCGGCGAAGGCGGGAGGGAGATTCTGCCGAAATCCGCCGTCTGTAGTCCGGGTTTGACCCGATCGGAGCCGATCCCGGTCCGGTCAATCAAGAACCCAGATGGGTTTCACGACAGGGGTGTGAGTGAAATGGAGTTGGGAAGCTTGGAGGATTATACCTACGTGACTTGTCATCTACCTAACAAGACCATCACCAAGGTTTACTACGATGGAGGTGATGGCGAGAATTGGAGAAATGAATATAATGAAACTATCAAAACCAACGTATGTATTCCCAAAAGAACTAACCCAGAAAGCGTAAATGAAGCAGAACCATCTTATCCAACCTCCGATTTCCTCAGTTCATGTCACTTGTGCAGAAAGAAACTCCATGGCAAAGACATCTACATGTACAGGTACTTATCTTGCAAAAATCCTCCAGAAAAGTAACCTTAAAATCAAGCATGTTTCATCAATTCAGATTTCTTGATTATGGTGTGACTGTTTTTGGTTATGTTTGTGTACAGAGGAGAGAAAGCTTTTTGTAGCCAAGAGTGTCGTTCGAGTCAGATATTGATGGACGAGAGGAAAGAGCAGTGTAGGTCAGAAGCATCAAGGTCCGTGGAAGTGTCAAGCTCGCCATATAAAAGAGACCAAATATTTTCAACTGGGATTCTCGCTCTTTGACGCTTGATATATATGCGTGTCTGCCTCTGGTATTGGGAAGCCATGGAAGATAAACCAGAGACTGATGCTACTATGACCACCAAAGTACATAAAATACGACTATACTAGTAAATTATCATCATCCTTATCAGAATTAAGACCGGTTGATGGTAACCCAGACGAATTTTTGATCCGAGGAAATAATATATGTTCTGATGTGCCGAGAATTATAATGAGATTTTTTTTTTTTTTCCATTTGAGCTATCCAATCGCAGAAAATTGCGAACGTGAGTTCTGAGTTTCACGGGTCTCTGTTCTGTTCCCGTGTTTTCTCCCACCCCATCTTTTCTAAAAACGTTTGATCATCATAAATTATCATGTGAAATCTAAAGACGACACAATGAAAAGAGCTTCGAAAAGTGGGGGAGCCTGTTTTCGAAGAGAATTAAAGATGGTTAGATTGGTTTTAGGCTATAAACAAAGATATTTATTCATCTGTTACCTGGATTCTGAAGAGACACTTCTAAATTAGATTAAATTTATAAAAAAAAAATCAAGTTGAGTAGAAAAGGCATGCAAATCTGTAAAGAGGCGGCCCCTTATTATAAGGTTCAAATCTTGTACATGTCTTAGAAAATTAGTGAATAATTCATATTTGTTCTTTCTAAAAGTTGAAGTAGCCAGTCTGAGTTCAAAACCTCTACACTGAAATCAATAGAAACTGAGTCAAGTCCAGAATGCCACATGCTCCGCGTAGAAAAAAAAAAATCAACCAAAACTGAAATCCTGCAGAATTCATTTGTTACTAGGCATGAGAAATTAAAGGTATCTTGTGAGAGGTCTTAAAACGTAATAAATGACAGCATGTAAAAAGGACGACGGAAAGTTGAAGGAGGGAAGGGAAGAGGATGATGAGAAGGGGAAGTGAGTGGTGGTGGGGTCTGATGGATGAAAGCAAGAAAGTGGAGTGAGATGGGGAATCCACTAACAAGTGATGAACCCAAAATTCGGATGTAAAGAAAGAAAGAATTAAAATTGGGAATGCGTGAGGGCTCCACATATACACATACTTTTGCTCACAATTTTTTTTTTTTTTTTGGCTTTTGTATTCTTGTGTTGGGGACATCTATCTACCCCCTCTCCACTTGCTCACGTTTATTAGATTTCTACTTCCATCACTTTCATGGCTCTCTCTTCCCCCCACTAGAGGGCAATTTAAATTGACTCGTTTGATCTAAGATGCTGTTTTGATTTCAACGTACCCATTATTTCCAATGAATAGTACTACTTTATATAATTTTGGTTATTGGTTGCTATACATATGTGATAAGTGTTTCCAGAAATTATCACTTCAACTGATTTTACAAGTTTCTTTCCCATCCAGTTCTACTTATTGATACACAAAATAAGATTGTAGCAACTAGAGATACACAAGGCCCACACCCTCCTTTTTCTTTCTAATCAGGATCCAGTTTTTTAAGCTAGGATATTGAAATAACCAACTCTATTTGTTTTCCAATTTATTTTATTTTATTTTTGTGTGTACCCACCGTCACCCACGCACAGTGAATTAAATCTTATTTATTTTATGGAGTGAATTTTCCTCCCATGTTGATATAGTGAGTTTGTGTGCACTAGCTTGACAAAGCGGTGTGGTAGTCTGCAGTTTGATGCTATACAGAAACATTATGCAGTTTTAAATAACTAAATACCAGTTTGTGTCTCACGAGATCAAGTATTACTCTTTTAAATAGTAAACGCGATCTTCTGTGATTAAAGAAAATGAATATAGTTGTTCAAGTTCAATACATAAGGTACAATTATAGTTCAACACGTTTCATGAGTGGTGATTTTATTCGCTGCACCTGCAGGATTTTAATACAAAATAAAAATTAGCCCAAGAAGCTGCTTAGTGCTTATTCATAAATAAAGTTCCTTTTAATTTACTTTTCTACTTTTTTGTTGCACGTCAAAATTTGATCTCTCGCACAAGCACTGAGTTTTCCAGTAATAATATGAGCCGACTTTATTACTGATGAAGTCTATATTACACATGAATGAGAACATCTTTTCAATAATTTTTATCAGTTTCATTAGTTAATCGGGATTATAAATACATGAATTTATATAATTAGAACATACACACAAAATTTGACGAGGGGCAAAATTCCTTTTTCCTCTTGTCAAATTTTAAAGCTCCTTTATTATTTTCCGGATAAGAAAAACTACTCTGAAAATCCTAAATTATGGAAGTACTCTATTTTCTTTTCCATGGATGTGATTAGGATTTTTTTAGGGGGCATGAAAATGAAGAACTTATATTCAAAACTTCAAAAATCAACTTATATCAGTTGAGGGGCTAGTTCAAGAATTTTAGATGAAATTTTTATATAAAAAATAATAAGTTATAAGATAAGTATGTGGAACTCATTTATTATTAAGATGCACTCCCCACTTAAAAAATAGAAGGCATTTTTAACTTCTAAACCTAAAAGCGTCTCATTTTGTAAGGGGATATATTCTGCGTGGTATATTTTACTAATTAAAAACCTTGATGTCCTGTTACAATTCCTAGTAATAAATGCTAATGGGTCAAAATCAAGGAGGGCTATAAAGTCTCCTTAGTGTGGTCCTCCATGGTTGTTTCTGCCCTGTCTTCTCGTGAGAAAGCATACTTCACAATGAAGGAGCAGGAAAAAGCACGTCTCATTCAATTAAATAAGAAAAACCCACTCAATTGAAAAAACAAAATGTGTAGTTTTTCTTTTCTTTCTTTCTTTTTTTTTTTTTTCAAGTCTACACTATCTGTCATTAAAGTGTAATATGCATTGCAAGAAGGCAAGGGAGAAAGACCAAAGCATCCGAAATATCTATTTACAGTGGACTGCGGTCAGTGAATGGTGAGAATACGCAAAACGCAACATCTACGCAAACCAACAGCAACAGATATGTATATTGCAGCTTCACAAAAGGATAGGACAATAAAAGAACCACATGGACACCAGGTGAAGAAGCGATTTAACATAGAGAAGATCCATAACTCTTACTGATAGTACATAAGGTGCTGTGTGCTGGCAACACTTGGGTACATGGCTGCCTGCTTCAGGGCTTGCTGAGTCTGCTGGACGAGGGCCTGCGATGCACCCATTTTGGTCAAAGCCAATTGTCGTTGAAATGCCACGAGATTAGAGGCCGAGAAGCCTGCCATACGTGCAGCAGTAGGTGGGGGAAGAGGGGTAGATACTGTTCCTGGGGGTGTAGGCTTGCTACCCCATGAGCACTGCAGCCATATCAATCAAATATTTAACAATATCATTTGGCTATAAGTTATAACATAGCACTAATAGGAGATAAATGCTGTTAACCAGAAATATCATGATACCTTGACAGGTTCACCAAAGAGAATCCCTGCATTACCCCTCTGTATAGCAAGACCTGCTTCGGCATGTGTACTTTATCTCACAAATCCAAAGCCTTTATCACTTTGAATCGAACATCTTCAGTTGCTCCAGCACCAAGGGCGTAAAAATGACGGTGTAGATCAAGATAACTAACCTGCAAGCAATTTCACTGCCTGTGAGAACAGTAGTAATTTTAAATGTAAGAAGAAAATCGGGATCAGCAAGGCTTTAACATCCCATTCACTCAAGCACTATTTGGATAAAAGATACAAGTCAGCCTAGATCAAGCAAAAAAATTTTGGGTGGTTAGCAGTACAACAGCCAGTGGTCCTGCATAACTTCGTAAGCTTACAATTCTTGCACACAGCAATTGAAACATAATTGGGAAACACTGTCCAATCAAGCACTCATCAAAACATATCTATAAATTTAAAAGGCAAAAAAAAAAAAAGATTAAAGCCAAAAATTATCAGAAAATGATATCATTCAATGCCTCAAGCAAAATTGGCTTCTTAGAAGCAGAAAATAAAGACTAACAAGGTAAACATTAGCAGATTATAACAATAGTAAAGTAACCCTTGCCTTTGGAGCAAGATTGCCAGCATAGACGGTGGTATATTGAGGATTCTTCTCAGGAGATTCATCATTGATATTTTGATGGCCTTCTTCTGCACAGTCCAACAGCCAAATAACCATGAAAGCAAAGGAGAAAGACCACAAATATCAGGTCTCTAGAACCAATGATTGGACCAATTATATTTTTAAATTATAGGTTTACAAAACAACATCAATCTAGTATATACATAAAGATAAACTGAAAACTTAAAGAAAAAACAATTTATTTATACATCCCATTGTAAATCCATTGATAGTCAAAGTAACTTTCATGATCAACAATGAAAGGTTTAAAACTGATTTCATAACTTATAAGGACAGTGGACAAGGGACCATTTCTGCCAGAAATCATGAACTCTAAAGCAAACTGCAAACACTATGAACATCCAATGGAAATACGAATCAGAATTCCAGCACAAGCTCAACACAAGTTCCATTCGTCAGCTCCTAAACACTTTTGGAATCTGAATCCTGTTTGTCATCATTTGAATTAGCTCCCTTTTGTGGCTCAGTTACAACGGATCTGTCCACTTCCAAGCCACTTTCCTGATATGAAAGGGAAAGACAACAGATTCACATACATTTGAAGCTGCTAATGTAATAAACTATCACTTATGAACTTAATATCCAATCAAACCACCACCATACCGAAAGCATTGAAGTTAAATATTTCAATATGGAATAAGAATCACATCAAATTCCATATACATCTTATCTAACTGGAGGGCAGCAGAAAATCCAAAACACATTCAAGGATGTTGCACAATATGGAATTGTAAATTGAAATTGAAATTATCTTTACAGCTTGTGAAGTGCGAACAATAAAGCAAATGATTGTAGGTTCTAAAATACCTCTAGCATATGCAGTTAACCGATAAACTCACATTGAAGTCATCTTACCACTTGAATCAGTTATAGCACTTTGGACATTCTGATCAGCACAAAAAAGGGGGGAAACCTATCATTAGCACTGCAAGTACATAAAACACCAAGGATGATAATAAAAAAGGAACAAATAGAACATAATTAAAAAATTCCATGCATGTTGGTTAGAAAAAGAAACAAAACCAAATCCGTGGGAGTGGCCTGTCTTGCGATTCCACATAACCATTGCATCTCTGCAAACATTAAGCCATAAGTGTCATAAAGATATGAAATAAATTGAGACACGTATCCAGGAGCAAGCACAAGAGGCAAGCAAAATTTATAAGGGCACAGAAATAGACTTACAAACAACTA